TGGTAAAGTTGTGAGGTATACTTCCTGCTGGTAAAGTTGTGAGGTATATTTCCTGCTGGTAAAGTTGTGAGGTATACTTCCTGCTGGTAAAGTTGTGAGGTATATTTCCTGCTGGTAAAGTTGTGAGGTATACTTCCTGCTGGTAAAGTTGTGAGGTATACTTCCTGCTGGTAAAGTTGTGAGGTATACTTCCTACTGGTAAAGTTGTGAGGTATACTTTCTGCTGGTAAAGTTGTGAGGTATATTTCCTACTGGTAAAGTTGTGAGGTATATTTCCTACTGGTAAAGTTGTGAGGTATACTTCCTGCTGGTAAAGTTGTGAGGTATACTTCCTGCTGGTAAAGTTGTGAGGTATACTTCCTGCTGGTAAAGTTGTGAGATATATTTCCTGCTGGTAAAGTTGTGAGGTATACTTCCTGCTGGTAAAGTTGTGAGATATATTTCCTGCTGGTAAAGTTGTGAGGTATACTTCCTGCTGGTAAAGTTGTGAGGTATACTTCCTGCTGGTAAAGTTGTGAGGTATATTTCCTGCTGGTAAAGTTGTGAGGTATACTTCCTGCTGGTAAAGTTGTGAGGTATTACTTCCTGCTGGTAAAGTTGTGAGGTATACTTCCTGCTGGTAAAGTTGTGAGGTATACTTCCTGCTGGTAAAGTTGTGAGATATATTTCCTGCTGGTAAAGTTGTGAGGTATACTTCCTGCTGGTAAAGTTGTGAGGTATATTTCCTGCTGGTAAAGTTGTGAGGTATACTTCCTGCTGGTAAAGTTGAGAGGTATACTTCCTGCTGGTAAAGTTGTGAGGTATATTTCCTGCTGGTAAAGTTGTGAGGTATACTTCCTGCTGGTAAAGTTGTGAGGTATACTTCCTGCTGGTAAAGTTGTGAGGTATACTTCCTGCTGGTAAAGTTGTGAGATATATTTCCTGCTGGTAAAGTTGTGAGGTATACTTCCTGCTGGTAAAGTTGTGAGGTATATTTCCTGCTGGTAAAGTTGTGAGGTATACTTCCTGCTGGTAAAGTTGTGAGGTATACTTCCTGCTGGTAAAGTTGTGAGGTATATTTCCTGCTGGTAAAGTTGTGAGGTATACTTCCTGCTGGTAAAGTTGTGAGGTATACTTCCTGCTGGTAAAGTTGTGAGGTATACTTCCTGCTGGTAAAGTTGTGAGGTATACTTCCTGCTGGTAAAGTTGTGAGGTATACTTCCTGCTGGTAAAGTTGTGAGGTATACTTCCTGCTGGTAAAGTTGTGAGGTATACTTCCTGCTGGTAAAGTTGTGAGGTATACTTCCTGCTGGTAAAGTTGTGAGATATATTTCCTGCTGGTAAAGTTGTGAGGTATACTTCCTGCTGGTAAAGTTGTGAGGTATATTTCCTGCTGGTAAAGTTGTGAGGTATACTTCCTGCTGGTAAAGTTGTGAGGTATACTTCCTGCTGGTAAAGTTGTGAGGTATATTTCCTGCTGGTAAAGTTGTGAGGTATACTTCCTGCTGGTAAAGTTGTGAGGTATACTTCCTGCTGGTAAAGTTGTGAGGTATACTTCCTGCTGGTAAAGTTGTGAGGTATACTTCCTGCTGGTAAAGTTGTGAGGTATACTTCCTGCTGGTAAAGTTGTGAGGTATACTTCCTGCTGGTAAAGTTGTGAGGTATACTTCCTGCTGGTAAAGTTGTGAGGTATACTTCCTGCTGGTAAAGTTGTGAGGTATACTTCCTGCTGGTAAAGTTGTGAGGTATACTTCCTGCTGGTAAAGTTGTGAGGTATACTTCCTGCTGGTAAAGTTGTGAGGTATACTTCCTGCTGGTAAAGTTGTGAGGTATATTTCCTGCTGGTAAAGTTGTGAGGTATACTTCCTGCTGGTAAAGTTGTGAGGTATACTTCCTGCTGGTAAAGTTGTGAGGTATATTTCCTGCTGGTAAAGTTGTGAGGTATACTTCCTGCTGGTAAAGTTGTGAGGTATATTTCCTGCTGGTAAAGTTGTGAGGTATACTTCCTGCTGGTAAAGTTGTGGGGTATACTTCCTGCTGGTAAAGTTGTGAGGTATACTTCCTGCTGGTAAAGTTGTGAGGTATATTTCCTGCTGGTAAAGTTGTGAGGTATACTTCCTGCTGGTAAAGTTGTGAGGTATACTTCCTGCTGGTAAAGTTATGAGGTATATTTCCTGCTGGTAAAGTTGTGAGGTATACTTCCTGCTGGTAAAGTTGTGAGGTATATTTCCTGCTGGTAAAGTTGTGAGGTATATTTCCTGCTGGTAAAGTTGTGAGGTATACTTCCTGCTGGTAAAGTTGTGGGGTATACTTCCTGCTGGTAAAGTTGTGAGGTATACTTCCTGCTGGTAAAGTTGTGAGGTATATTTCCTGCTGGTAAAGTTGTGAGGTATACTTCCTGCTGGTAAAGTTGTGGGGTATACTTCCTGCTGGTAAAGTTGTGAGGTATACTTCCTTCTGGTAAAGTTGTGAGGTATATTTCCTGCTGGTAAAGTTGTGAGGTATACTTCCTGCTGGTAAAGTTGTGGGGTATACTTCCTGCTGGTAAAGTTGTGAGGTATATTTCCTGCTGGTAAAGTTGTGAGGTATACTTCCTGCTGGTAAAGTTGTGAGGTATACTTCCTGCTGGTAAAGTTGTGAGGTATACTTCCTGCTGGTAAAGTTGTGAGGTATACTTCCTGCTGGTAAAGTTGTGAGGTATATTTCCTGCTGGTAAAGTTGTGAGGTATACTTCCTGCTGGTAAAGTTGTGAGGTATATTTCCTGCTGGTAAAGTTGTGAGGTATACTTCCTACTGGTAAAGTTGTGAGGTATACTTCCTGCTGGTAAAGTTGTGAGGTATATTTCCTGCTGGTAAAGTTGTGAGGTATACTTCCTGCTGTTAAAGTTTTGAGGTATATTTCCTGCTGGTAAAGTTGTGAGGTATATTTCCTGCTGGTAAAGTTGTGAGGTATACTTCCTGCTGGTAAAGTTGTGAGGTATATTTCCTGCTGGTAAAGTTGTGAGGTATACTTCCTGCTGGTAAAGTTGTGAGGTATATTTCCTGCTGGTAAAGTTGTGAGGTATACTTCCTGCTGGTAAAGTTGTGAGGTATATTTCCTGCTGGTAAAGTTGTGAGGTATATTTCCTGCTGATAAAGTTGTGAGGTATACTTCCTGCTGGTAAAGTTGTGGGGTATACTTCCTGCTGGTTAAAACAAGAACGACGTTGAGATGAACTTGATGCATGAATCATATAAGGAATAAAGAAATTTGAAGACGTTAAATGGAATGAAAAATTATATCTCACAAAGTGTGGAAAATGGGTTACTGAGGATTTCCTCTACATCCAGTCTGGAGAGAATTTGCTAAAGATGGTTTAAAGTCGTCCAAGGAAGAACCCAAAGGAAAGACTGAATAGGGTGTTGAGAAGTTAGTTAGTTAGTTAAAGATTAGCCGGTATTTTCCCGGCCCGGGCCTTGTCCAAGTGGTGGCCCGGCCTTGGCTCCCTCTTTAGGGAGTGTCTGAGACCTAAGTCTCCCATAGGAGGAGGCACAAGTACCTCCTCATCTTTGGGACCAACTGTCCCCAGGCCTAGCCACAAGCTAGGCCTCTCTGGTCTGTCATCCCCGCCCCAGGGGGGCAAATGGGAATGACAGTCTTATGAGCTAAAGGCTCGGGCTGAGGCACCTACCCTACCCTAGAAGGGTTAGGCATGGTGTCGATGTGTTGAGAAGTATGAACTAGCTAGGGCATCCAGCAGGCGTATGTGAGCGTGTTAAATCTGAGTGAGTGGAAGAAAGAAGTGTCTTAAGTTTCATGTTACTGAAGTGTGAACAAATAATCATTATTAAGGGAATTAATGAATCCTGCTAACAGGACTTGAGTTCTGGATGTGTTGTGTCTGGTCTCTTAAAAATATAGAGGGAATGAAATATCTTTGCCATAATGAATGGTAAATAGGTTTTCCTTAGGTGGGAAGCAGATAAAGTTGCCAACTAAGCATAGCAGGAACTGTTTTGTGAAATAGACAAGAGGCAAAGAGAAGAAGCAACGAGTGTGCACGAAACAGTGGATTCAAATCATTAAAATTATACAAAATTATAAAAAAAATGAATTGTGAGCGCTAATATTAGTGCGAATAAATTATTTCGAGTCAGTGAACATTCATGACCACCTAAAATGGGTACTTCACGTTATTTGTGCAATGCACAATTTAGAAAAATCACTGCTGATGAAGTTAATCCCGTGTATAGGAAATTTTTCCTACAAATATACGATGAACGCACTAAAATGTAGAACTGGGGAGAATATAACTGAAGTGAACCATAAGAAAACATGCGTGAAGAAAGCAGATGTAACTAGTATACCCGAGATTATCTAACCAAAACAAGACGACAAGACTCGCATGTATGGATTCAAGGCAGAGAAATTTAGATTTAGAAAGGATATAGTAAAGCCCTGGTTATATCTGAGCGGATCAAACTTCCAGATATCGTCGCTGGGGCGAGAACTTTGGGTAGCTTTAAATAGAGGTTAGTCGGGTATATGAGTGGGTGTGGTTGGGTATGAGCTAGACCTACCTAGCAGGAACCAATGGGCTGACTGAAGTGTTCCGTCATTCTTATGTTCATAAGTAATTTCTGCCACCTTCGGGTGTTTCCTGTTTAATGTATTCTACAGTATTAAATTACATATATACTATATAACCCTCTCCACCTATCTGTAAATAAGTTACAATTAGCTATTTATTCTTATCTATAATTCATTTAATCATATGCTTCACTAATCTCAACCTAGAATCCTTTATTAGATTTCAGACACCACTAATTAATCATACTTTAATCCCTAAAATGGGGATTAACGTAATCTCTCAAAACAGTGAAAGATGCAACCCTATCAGCCTCTTTGCTGTCATTAAATACGTTCATTTAATATGAAATTATCTAGTAAAACTAACTGGTTATCTCTTTCACGTAGCTAGACCTGTTAACTAATTCGTAATTTTAAGATTTATTAATTGGGAAAGACATAATTGACACACCTGTTACCACGTGTATGAGTGCTCTAGCAGCAGACAGTTGTGTGACGTTACAATAGTAAGTACCAGAATCTTCCCGCTGAGCGTTGGCAACACGTAGCCAGGAACGAGCGATGCTCCCTCGCAGCTCCGTCTTCACGCTGTTGCAAAGACAAACTAATATTAACTACCGTATTTCGCGGCTTATTAGACGCATGTTTTTTCCCAAAAATATCTCCAAAACCACCCTGCATCCTATAAAATGAAGGTCAGTGACAGTAGCTGTAAGTCAGGGGTGTGGGGTGGGCTGTAGCTCTCCCAGTTACGTCCGATGCCGAGCCATTGAAACTAAAAGAAGTCTTATAAGCCGCGTCTTATAAGCCGCGAAATACGGTAATTAATGCATTCAGTAATGTTCCATATGAGTAGTATAGGAGTGATCGAGTGAGATCAATATCCTTAGGAAGTAAGGGTATTATTATTATTACTAGCAGTAGTATATTATTCATAGTGTCATGCAATGCTTGAGATATATGAGACAATAAGATATGATTCAAGGAAGGGAAAAGGTAGTTCCGATCTCCTGGAACAACACCAGAAACAAGAAACACCCTTTGAAAGAGGAAATGGGAAAATTAGCAGAAAGTGAATATTTTCGAAAGTGAGTGCAATCTGTGACTGTAGAATGTGCTTAACTTGACAAGTGTCATCACGATAAAGATATTAATTGATGGTGGATAATGGTATATATAGTTCTTTGCATTTTAAGCATACATGCATAAGCCCTCAATCGGTGACAAAGCTCTATATATCCACATTAAATTTAATTGTAGAAATGAAAACAGTTTAATAATTATGTGGCTTTTATGAAAATATTTCTCATGGCGACTCTCAGTATAAATAGAGATAAAGAGAGTACTTTACAAGGTTGTCTTCCAGTCATCATTGTTTATATGTAAATATTTTACAATAGAAAATATCCCCTCTAAGACAGATGAAAGTGAATTTCAGCAAATATGGTGCCTTGATGCTGGGAAGGGCTCTTGAAACAAGGAATCTGAGCAACCCTCCAGTTTCTCGGAATTAAAATGGCATTCCGTTCCCAGACGCTGTTAATTTAGAGCTTCTCAATGATTATAACAACAATAGTAATATTAGTAATATAAATAATAATTATAAGAAAATAATAATAATAATGTTATAATAATAATAATGTTAATAGTAATAATAATAATGTTAATAGTAATAATAATGTTAACAATAATAATAATAATAATAATAATAATAATAATAATAATAATAATAATAAATAATAATAATAATAATAATAATACTCCTTTTCCCAAATCATTACACTGTTTACTTTTTGCAGGGCATCATTTTATACCCACCAGCTCTTGCAGTTTGTGAATGTCTCTTGTGGTGATCTAGAAGTGAATATCTTTCTAAAGACTTGAAAAGTACAATCTACCCACCCTTCTTTGTCCTGTTAAATTTTTGCTACTATGTAATAGATCACTAGTAAGTTTGTGGTATGAGACTTACTCTCCATAAACTTGTGCAAATATTGATTTTAAGGTATATTTCTCTACAGCTATTCTCTTCACTCTCCATATTATAATATCAGAGATACCAGTCTGTAGTTCAGTGCTGACTCTATTCATTTTCCTAAAGTCTAGAAATACATTTGCCGTTTTGCTGCTTTGCTGAATGGTTCTGACCAGAGCTTTGGTAAGATGGGAGGGGGGGAGAAGGATGGGTAAGGATGGAATGTGGGAAAGGTTGGGGAGGGAGGAGGGGTAGGTGGGGTTATAAAAGGGTAGTGGCCTATCCACTTTGGTGTAAATTGAATATGCGTGTGAGCATATTGAGTATTTTGTAAAGAGGTTGGTTTTATGAGTGGGGTATGCCTCCTACCCATCAGTTGCACACTGCTATATTGTTCTTATACCAGTGCGTCAATGAATTGGAAGGATGCATACTACATACAATTGCTTTTTTTTCGCAAGAGGTTGGTCAGAAGGGCGCAGCTGCAGGTGGAGGTTGCCGAGCTTTTGATGGAGGTTGGTAGCTCACCTGGAGTTGGCCGGCAAGGCAGTGACTGAGGTGGTGTCCTACTGGAGGGTAGTTGTAGGTGCAACAAGGTTAGTTGAGCAGTGTAGGTTGATAGAAGTGGGTCACCCGGAGATGGGGAGCGTTAGTCCATGTTACTGGACGTAGAATGGTTCCGGAGCTATCCATTCATCTTCTGCCGGGAGGTCGCTTAAGATTTTCGGTCGAGGGAAGTTCTCCTTGTGGATGAAGCGTCGAATTCTTTGTTGGAGGGTCATTCTTTGGGATCTGTGGGGAGGCGTGGTGATGGTATAGTCGGTCGTGTTCACTGGTTGGGGGGGGGTTCTCTCTGTCGGGCACATAAAGTTCCTGTATGTCATATAGTTGTCTCTTAGTAAGTTTGTCTAACCGGACATTGATTGCGAGGATTCTCTGTTGCATGTGTAGGTCCTCTGACCTGATTCTGTCTGAGTCTGGTGTCAGTGATGAAGCAGAGGGCTTTGTTTTGGATTCTTTGGAGTTTTAGCATGTTGGTTTTGGTTGTGAGCGACATGGGTACACAGGGGTATTCCAGCAGAGGTCTGATCATCATCTTGTACAGGTGAAGTTTGATGTTGGGAGGAGCTGCTTTGAATCGATAAAGTTGGCAAAGGCGGGATTTTGCTAGGTTTACTTTTTTGGTTATGTGGGTTGTAGAGTTGAGTAATCTGCCGATCACATATCCTAGGATCTTGTTTGGATTCCTAATAGCGATTCGGGTGCCTCTGATGGAGATGCCCCCTTTGTCTTCTATGGTTGATGGTAAGCACCCGATAGTGCTGATGAGGACTTTGTCTGGGTTGGTTGTGATTCTCCATTTCTTATCCCGCCTGGCTGTTCTATTTAGTTCTTCATTCATTTTCTCTATTGCTCTCCTATGCTTATTTGCGCCAGCTGTAGGGGTGGAGGGACAACATGGATGACATCGTCTGCAAACTGAGTGATGATGGTGTCGGTGTGTTCAGGTTGGGGGAGGTCGTTGACGTATATGTTGAAGAGGATGGGGCTGAGGCAAGAGCCTTGGGGTACTCCTGCTGTTGGTGTGAAAGGGGTTGATTCCGCTCCGTGGAAGGTGGGGATGATTCTTCTTCCTGTTAAGAAGTTGTAGATGAGCTTGAGAAAGGTCCAGTTGTGATCAGGGAGGTTTACGAGTTTGTAAATGAGACCGTCGTGCCAAAGGCTGTCGAAGGCCTTGTGCACGTCCCTGGTGGCGATAAGGGTCAGGTTCTCTTGCTTCTTCAGGCTGGCCACGGCATCAGAGATGATGTTTGTGGCATGCTGAGTGCTGCGGTGGGACCTGAAGCAGAACTACCTTTCAGAGAATAGGTGGTTGAACTTCATGTAGTAGTTGAGTCTGTAGGAGATTATTCTTTCAAAGACTTTGCCCGTGACTTCGAGTAGGGAGATGGGTCTGTAGTTCTCAGGGTTGCGGTTGTCCTTGTTTGGTTTGGTGATGAAGATCATCTTAGCTGTCTTGAAAGCCTCTGGGAAGTGACCCGATGCCAAGATGGCATTGTAGATATTCACCAGAGACATCTTGCAGTTTCGGGGGAGGTACTGTAGTTGTCTAGCTCTTATGCCTGATGGGCCGGGAGCTGTTTCTCAGTCGCCCTATGACTTGGGACACTTCTCTGAGCGTGATTGGTCTGGTGAGGGGATGGTCGTCTTCGAGGGTAGTTGTGTCAATTGATGGTATGGGATGAAAGTCTTCTAGGTTCTCGTCACGCCATTGGTTGACCCACTGGTAGTGGATGTTGTTAAATCTTCGCCCATCAGCTTGGCTTGGTCCAGTGGGTCTTCAAGTAGGGTAGTCACTACCTCGCCGTCTTCGTCGGTGAAGGAGTGAGTGAGGCGTTGAGTGGGAGTTGGTTGGCCCCTAGTAGTCTGCGGATCTTGTTCCAGAATTGGTTTGGTTGGCGTTTGTACTAGTTGGCTTGGCACACCAGATAAACCCAAAGATCTCTTTTATGTTGGGTTACAAGGGCGATTAGCTCTCTTCTCAATCTTTGTAGGACTTCCCGGGAGGGTTGCCCTGTGAGGAAATGTCTGCTGCATTCTGACTGGTATATGTTCATTCTGTCCTTGATTTCCCTAGTTGGTTTGTATTGTTGGTAGATCTTGGACGATGTTAGTGTGCAGCAAGCTTGTGTGGCCTCGTTGATTCTGGCGTGGAAGGAGTTGATTGCCCCATCTATTGCATTGCAGGGCTGGTCTTCGAGAGAAATGGTTTGATCATTACCTAAGAAGGCTCTATAGGGGTCAAAACCTAGCGTCTTCAGGTTGGGCTTGGGGAGGGTGGGTGTTCGGAATGGAGTGGACTGTAGCTTGATTATCACTGGGATGTGATCTGACCCGACGTTGCCGCCTGGGGAGACTCGACAGTGGAACACGTCGCAGTCTCTGTTGGTGAGGACTACGTCTGGGGTGCCTGGGTGGAGGCCCACGAACGACTTGAAGAATGGGCCTTGGTTGAAGAGTGTGAAACATGTGCAACAGTTGGGTATCCTTATGAAAGTTAAGACACATGTGCAACATCTGGTTATCTTTATTGTAGATGTTTCGCCATCCAGTGGCTTTATCAATATAGATTCTAGGACGTAATTAGAAGACAGTGAAACTCTATACAAAAGATGAGGTAATCAGTCCCTCAGCCTTGGAGCTGCTGCTGAGAGCACCTTGGTGGTAGAGAATCTGGGTATCTTTATTGTTGACTGAAACGTTTCGCCTACGCAGTAGGCTTCTTCAGTCAAATACAGAAAAGATTAAATTGGAGGCAGCAGACGTTGTGGTTAAGTAAAGATAATGTAATCAGTCCGTCAACCTATTTCTCCAAGACTGAGATTACTCTCCTCTGTATTTGACTGAAGACACTTAATGTGTAGACAAAACCTTTCAGTCAAACACCATTTTCATCATAGTTTAAATTGGTTTTGCATTTACCATTGTAATTTCCACACATAATTACGCATCATCTTCTCTTGTTCTTGAATGTTTCCTCACTTGTTTATTTACAAACTTTCTATGGTTTGTGTACCTCGTCTTCTCTCTGGTACTTTTCATCTTCGCTTCT